ATATATATATGGGAGTACAAATTAGTTTTGAAATGGTCCGTTTTTTGTGCATTTATTTCAAAACAAAATAAATGAACAGATCAATTAAAGTATTGTCCATCGCTGCCTACTACTCTACTTTTTTCCATCTCTCAGGCAATTTTCGAATTCCATCTCGAAAAAATGACTCGTCTTTGGAGGCGATTTTTTCCAATTTTGGAGCCAATTTTCGATTTCTGTGAAAGAAGTGAACTTGCTGCATCCTTTGGAACAATAACCAGAAGGAGTAATGTCCGGAGAATACAGCGGGTGCGGTAAAACATCCCATTTGAGCGTTTCCAAATATTTTTTTACGACTTTAGCGACATAAGGCCGAGCGTTGTCATGAAGAAGAATAATAATTTTATCATGTCTTTGCTCGTATTCCGGCCGTTTTTCTCGCAATGCACAGTTCAAACGAATCAATTGTACCGATACCGATCGCCCGTAATGGAATCGCCAGCAGATCATAGTAAACAAGACCCTTTTGGTCCCACCAGAGCATGATCTTCGAATCATGAATGTTCGGTCGTGTTGATGTTGAGGTCGATGGCAACGATTGACTGGGCTTAGCATAATATTTTTTTTTCTTGGAGTTGTCGTAGAATATCCACTTCTCATCTCACAATCCGATGCAAAAAACCTCTGTCTTTGAATCAGCTGTTCGCAAGTGAAAAATCGCCTTTCAACGTCTCTCTGTTTCAGTTCGTAAAGCACCCAATTTTCTTGTTTTTGAATCATTCCCATGGCTCTTAATCGTACAGACATGGCTTGTTGAGTTACCCTCCAATGATTCTGCAAGCTTCTCTTGCGTTTGACTCTGATCTTCTTCGAGTAATGCCTCTAATTCTTTGTCTTTGAATTTTTTTGGTTGTCCAGAGCGAGGCTTGTCTTCAACGTTGAAATCTCCATCCTTGAAACGTCGAAACCATTCCCTACATGATTTATTAGTTGGAACACTGTCACCATAAACTTCGACAAGCATTCGATAGGCTTCAGCCGCACTTTTCTTTCAATTAAAGCAGAAAATCAAATCTCCCTGCTTGGTTAATACAAAATTCGACATTTCAAACACAGTAAAAATCAAGTTTTTGTATGAAACTCAAAGCGATATAAAGTGAATATTATTAGCAGATGTTTAACCTCTCTGAAACCGCCAAAATCAGCTGTCACTATGAACCAACAGCTGGAATTATCTTTAGGGAAACGGACCGAACTAATTTGTACTCCCAATATATATATACATTTAAATGTAATTTCAAAAAAATTGATATTACTGCTTGAATTTGTATAGTATGATTGTATAGTAACGATTTTTATATGTTCTCTTTTTCTCTTTTACTCTTGATAAAAATCAATCATTTCTTTATCAATTATTATGAATCATTTAAATATATAGTATTTATTTTCTAATTGCAGTTTTTGAAATTCATGAATCATAAGAAGTCCAGACTAACGGATCTATTCAGGAAAATGGATAAAAATAATGATGGACTTATACCGAGAGAAGACTTCATTCAAGGAATTATGAACACCAGTATTTATCATACCTTGTTTATTTTTTTTTCTATATAAGAACATTTATTTTTCTAATGCCTTACCTTATTTCGAATTTATAGAATTCGAGACTTCCCGTTTGGAAATGGGAGCTGTTGCTGATCTCTTCGATCGTCACGGTGAAGGCTTGATAGATTGGAAGGAGTTCATCGCCGCTCTGCGACCCGACTGGGAAGAACGACGCACCTACAACGACACGGACAAGATACATGATGAAGTTAAACGGTTAGTTATGCTGTGTACCTGTCGCCAGAAGTTCCGCGTTTTCCAAGTTGGCGAAGGAAAGTACAGGGTATGTATATGATTAAATAACGAATTTAATGCGGACATGCATTTATCTAATTGTAATCAATCTATTAATATTAATAATTACATATGACTTAATTGTAACGCGAAATTGCAGTTTGGTGATAGCCAGAAACTACGATTGGTTCGAATCCTACGTTCCACTGTTATGGTACGCGTCGGTGGAGGCTGGGTAGCGTTAGACGAATTCCTTTTAAAGAACGATCCATGCCGCGGTAAGTATTCATCACGAGCCTTTAATCTGCGCGATATATGTAGGCAATCCGAGATCAGGTTGAGATAAATCGTAATCTATACTCACGATTTTTTTTATTATACCAATAGTAAGGAAAAAGAAAGTAATTAATTAAAATGACTTGTGACTGGGTGAACTATTGGGTTAACGCGAAACATGTTTGCAAGGCAAATTACTCCTTAATTGCAAGTAAATAACTTTCAAAAGAAATTTTCTACTGTCTCCTCTTTATCCTTCTTTCCCAAGAGGCAATTAAACTTGCATTCCCATTTAATTTCGATATTTCTAATAATCGAAAATGATATTTTTAAGTATTTGTTATTATAACAATATGTTAACGTTTTGTTTTTGTTTCCATCGCTCTTACTTCACATTAATCATCATTACTTTGCTTTGCTGCATTAAATGTAGAAATGTAGTACCATTTAAGAGAAATTCATTGTCATTAACGAAAGCCTGAACATTGATTTGATATGATTATTTGTCTACTCTATATCCTAATAAGACTAACTAAAGATAAGATTATATAATATGTATATTATACATACGATTTCCACTCCTGAGGGGTCATAACGTTGCCATTATAATCAGACATTAAATGCTCATTGTTAACTTAATATTAAAGAATAATTGAGAGTAGTGTACACATTCGCTGTTTATTGCTTTTGCTTATCTAGAAACTATTTTTCCGGTATATGTATATTGTTTATTTCGTTGATATTCGATAAAAAAAATCCAATATTTATTATTATTTTTATATTAAATTTTACATTTATTATATTTACGCTACAACATGCATGATAATTTAATTTAATCACTTCAATATTGAATTGCGTGAAAAATGTCTATTGTCAATTTTTTCTCTACTTTTCTTTTAATTTCTCTCTCGCCTTTTCCGCCAATGATAAATTCATCAATGAATTTTGGAATATCAGTCTTGAGATAATCATTAATTTCTACGTCAGAGAACTTTTCTGGTATAGTACTATTTTATGAGTAGTAGGTAGAAGGTAATATTACAGTAGGCATATCTAACATTTTGTTAACTATGTACTAACGTTAACATAACTGTTCCTTACTGTCCATCGATCCTCCTCACATCCCGTCTAACTTTATAACAAACATTTCTGTTTGTTTCATTTTCATGTATATCTTTTATGTTTATGTTTTACGTTTGTTTACCGAATGTGTTTCCGTTGGCTAAAAAAAATTATAAATTTCTAAATCGCGGCGCATGCATAAATATATCGACACATCTTATTCTTTCTAATCGATTTTGTCTTTCGAATCGTGATTAACTCGTTAAGTTTTTCTGATGCCAATACCGGATCCTAACAAACCGGAACAACATGAGGGTTGGTGTCCGCTCGGTGAGAACTGTTTTACGTGCACAACAATTCATTCATGGTCTATACATTGAACGAAACTTGCTCGTTCAATTATTAAATTGTCTTATTTAAATTCTCAATTGAATATTTATGATATGCCCGAGTCGGCCCGAGATGCTCATCAATAACTAATTGCTGCAGTATAGACCATGAAGGTGATATTCCTGCGTATGGTGCATGATTTATTAGCTTGTTCGAACTAATTTTTCGAAGTGTTGCCTTTTTGTTGAGTATGTCTACATACGTGCGTATACGGTTGTATTATATGGAACGATTGGCAATTACTGTCTGGATAAGGTAAATAGATTGCGCAGATGAAATTAACGCTATAGTTACTGCGTAATATTAACTGTTTTCTTGATGCAATTTCGAGTGCCAGTGTTTAAAAAAAAAGAGTGCCTGTATTTATAGTGATGCAGGATTACATAATATACTGCAGTCGTTTCGCTTTCTTTTCCCTGTTTTGTATTATTCAGTTTTCTTTTTTTAGTTTCGGTGAATGGTTCACGTTAATCTATCTCTTAATTGATAATTATTTTCTATATAAATGCTCTACTCTTGCAGTAATATTCAATGTGATTATTTCATCAATTGATTTCAATATATTCTTTGTAGCGCCCCTTTGTGTAGCATTTTAATATCCTTGCTAGAAGATAACCAATGCATGTTTAGTGAATTTTGGTTTGTTTTTACAATTATCCTACTCTGGGAGATGAGTTTTGTATATACCATGGTATGAATATATTGAGACTTCTTATTCTCTCCTCTCCCTTCTTTTAGTTTAGCTTCTTATTTAATATATTATATTAAAATTAAAAAGTACATTGGTTTCTTTTGGCATGGTTACGCGTGTAATTTCAAAACAATTTTTTTAAGTTATCCGGAAAGTAAGGTTACAAGATTTTTTAAAAATACAAATATGCATATATTTTAATGAAACTTACAGGGATTATAGTATAAGTATTACATTATTTTTCCATCATAATCACCATTTACTTCAATACATTTTATCAACCGTGAGACGAGTTTTTTAATTTCTGTTTCATAGAGATCTCCTGCCACCTCTTTTAGCTAGTTCTGCACTTCGATTTTCATCTCGTCGTCATCGCAAAAGTGTTTTCTACCCAGATGTTTCCTTTAATTTAGTGAAGAGATGATAGTCGCTAAATGTGAGAGAAGTGATTTAAAACATCCCAATCAAATAAAATCTTGCGTTGTACAAGCGGTGAGCATTGTCATGAAGGAGACAAATTCCCTTCGTCAGCATCTCACGGCATTTTGTATGGCTCTGCGAAGTTTCCTGAGGATCTCACACTATCTTGCAGCATTGATTGTCTTACCTTTCTGCAAAACGACGAGCAGAACTCCTTTTCTATCCCAAAAAACTGTTGTCATGATTTTTTGGGTTGATTGCTAAGTTCTGAATTTTTTTTGCTAAAGGAGAATGGATATGGCGCCACTGCATTGATTGTCATTTGCTCTCTGGGGTATGGTGGTAAATCCAAGTTTTATCTCCCGTCACTGTAGAGACAAGAAAAGTCTCACCTTCAGTCTCAAAACGTTCTCGCGCGACTCTGACTCTGTTGATTTTGTTTTTTCTTCAGTAAGCATCTTCAATACCCATCCGCACACAGCTTGCAATATCCCAGTCGATCATTCACGATTTCACGAACAAAGTTCGTGCAAGTTATCAATGATCGAACGGCGATCAGAAAGAAAATGCTCTTCAATTTTTTGCATCAGCTCAGGCATCATGGACGGCCGTCCACTTCTCTCTTCATCGTGAATTTCTGTCCTTTCAAAATTGAAATTTCGTATCCATTTTGTCACATGTTGTCTTGACATAATCTTCCCCATAAACTGAAACGATTTCGCGATGAATCGCGGCAGCGCTCATGCCCTTTGCATTGTGTAGCGTATTACAGCGTGCACTTCGCACTTGTTGGGAGACAAAATAAAAGCGCTCATCTTCATCATAACGAGAGTTGGGAAGCTATTGACGTCTGACACCACTCGTTTGCTTCAGCTGGCTCTCCACAGTGGTACACTTCGAAAAACACATTTCCCTGCGAGAGCTATGCGCCTTATAACTTTACTTTCTGGATAATCTTCGTATATACAGAGAATTCTAGGAATGTCATATTTTTCAACTAAAAATAAAAAAGGTAAACAAGAAAAGAAGATAAAAAAAGAGGAAATATAAAGTTGTTGATAAATAATAATGCTTTGAATAATTTGTTTAATATTTTTTATTTTTAGTAAATAAAAATTAAATTTTTTATTTATCAATGAAGACATTCTGAGATGCTCTATGATATATTCATTAATTGCTTAGGCATATTGTGAAATGTACGATAATGAGCGACTTAAAGCATATTTTTATTGTAATAGAGAAAATATAAGAAATAAATTCCGTCGCAAATCGTACAATTTATGCCAATATCTTAAGCATTGAAATTAGTATTGTATAATAAAGTCCCAGTCAGTGGCAGAATATTTAGTGACTCCTGTATCGTAAATTTTATTTATCGTAAATCTTATTATATAATGACTATGATAAACGTAAAACTTGATTTGAATGATTGTTTTAATAAGCTTGTACTTCTGTGAAATATTGAATTTTATAATGTCAAATTTTTTTTTATCGTATATTCTAAATATGCTGTCTTTTCTTTTTTTCCATGATACACAAATGCATACCTGGATACGCCACACTCGCATACATGTACTCGAAAACACGCACGCATACCGTGAAACATTTTTGTCGCCTTTTTTTCTCTTCACTTTTTCTCAAAACTATTTCTCCTATCCATTATTG